CAGAACTCCTATTGGGGAGGCAGTTCCAGAACTTCACCCCACTGATGGTTAGAAACTGTCTTCTAATTTCCACCCTGAATTTGTTCATGGCCAATTTATATCCATTTGTTCTTGCACCAACATTGTCCTTTAGCTTAAATAGCACTTCACCCCTATGGTATTTTCCTCCCCTCCTATTGTATTTATGGAGAGCAATCATATCCCCTCTCAGCCTTCTTTTTGATAGACTAAACAAGCTAAGCTCATCCAGTCTCCCCTCATAAGATTGATCAAGGGATGGAAGGTCTTTCTACTAGTTCTTTTCTGCATCTGTTCCAGTTTAAAATCATCCTTCTTGAAAATGGGTGACCAGGGTTGAACATAGTATTGCAAATGATGTCTTACAAGTGTCTTGTACAATGGCATTAATACTTCACTACCTCTGTTAGAAATTCCTTGCCTGATACACCCTAGGATCACATTTGCCTTTTTCATGGCTGCATAACATATCATAGTCAACCTATGATCGACCCATACACACAAGTCTCTCTCCTCCTCTGCCACTTCCAACTGGTAAGCCCCTAGCTTGTAGCAGAAATTCTTATTATTAGACCCTAAGTGCTTAACCTTGCACTTTGTACTACCGAATTTCATCTCATTTCTTTCACTCCCATCTGCAAGGCCATCTAGCTCTTCCTGTATAATATTCTGGACCTCCTCTGTACTAACAATGCTTCCCAACTTTGCATTATCAGCAAACTTTTTATTAATAAAAATATTTAATAAGATTGTTCCCAAGACTGATCATTGAGGAACTCCACTAGTAGCCTCCCTCCAGTCCAATAATTCGCCTTTCAGCACAACTCATTGTCTTCTCCCCTTTAGCCAGTTCCTTATCCATCTTACAGTTCTTGTACTGATCCCCAGCTTTCCTAATTTAACAAATAATTTCCCATGTGGCACCATATCAAATGCTTTGCAGATGTCCAAGTAAATTAGATCTACTGCACTTCACTTATATAAAAAATTCAGTTATTTTCTCAAAGATGGAAACTGGGTTCTACCTTTAGTAAACCCACGTTGTGTCACATCTCCTTTACCATTCACCTCTATGAATTTAATTTTAGTCTTTCCTTCACAATTTGTTCTAAAGCCAAGCCTACTTCTGAAGTCAGACTAACAGGTCTGTAATTGTTCAGATCACTTTTTCTGCCTTTGTTAAATATAGGTACAATGTTAGTTATTCTCCAGTCACATTGTAGTACCCCCAAACAGATAGTTTTATTAAAAATACTTGCTACCAGACTAGCAATCTCTTGTGCTAGTCTTTCAGTATCTGGGACGGAAGTTATCCGGTCCCCATGATTTGAGTGCATTAAGCTCTTTAAAGGTTTTCTTCCACTTCAGATGTGGTAATTTGCATTTCTAGATACTCATTTCCATCAGCCATACTGCCTTCATGCATATGTTCCATATTATCATACTTATTGAAGAAAGAAAAAGGAAAGAGAAAGGGGTAGGGGAAAATGAAATAAGAAAAACAGGATAAAAAATATTCCACTCAGAAACCTGGTTGACTGATGTCTCCTAGTTTCCTTAGGAGAGCATGTAGTAGCATAACACCAGTCATAACTGAATTACTAATAACTAGAGTTGGTCAGGAATATTTCACCAAAACATTTTTTTTTAAATAGAACATGACAATTTGTTGAAACCTAAACTTTTTGCAGAGAAGTATTGGTCTCAACAACACTTTTATCAGGAAAGGCTTCTCAGGTCGAGGATGGAAAAAACGAGAGACACAGACCACTGTACTGCAGAAATAGCCAACAGCCCAGTGGATAGGGCCCTCGTGTTAGATGTGGGAGACCCAGATTCAAATCCCTGTTCTGTCTGGTTTGGAGCAAAGACTTTAATCTGGGTCTCCACATTCCAGGTGAGTTCCCTCACCACTTGGCTATTCTGGGGCGCTCTCTCTCATTTTTTCATGAAACATTTATAATTCTTGGTTTTGTTTGTATCAGAAACAAAATTTTGTATTTTTCTGCTAAACAGATTTCTTGTTTTCTGCCCAGCCCCACTAATAAAATACAACTGAAGCATGAACATCTTTCAAAGAATTCAAAAAGGGCCACTGTATCTCTAACTGCAGATTCTTAGATTTATGACAAAAGGCAAGAGGAAAGACCTGCTCGGTACAAGCCATTGTCCAGTTGGTCCATCTACTACATAATTCCACTGCCATATACACATATATCAGGGAGGAGCTGTGGCCACGTTACTACTCCAGCCCAAATTTTGCTTTATTGGCCACGCTGAAGTTGCAGTCCAGATACCCAGAGACAGACAAGGAGTCTGCTCCTCTAGGGCCACTCGCATATGACTGACACTCAGGGTATATGCTCGTTATCAGAATTTCGCCGTGACTAAAAATCTGTTCTTCAAATGCAGAATATGACATTTTCAAACATTCACAATTCTGTTCATTTTTCAACCAGTCTTGTTTTAACTTAGTCATGGATATATGCTACTCTTCAATGAGAAGTGTTTCCACGTCAAATTTCAAATTCTGCCGTTTTTGAGCTATCCATGTTGAAAAGAAATATGGCAACATTTTAGAGAGAGAAAGGTGTTGGTTTTCTTGTACATGGACATAACAGAAAAACTGTGGAAGGGCTTTTACTTAAAATTAGCAAAAATGTTCACCTTTGGATGGAGACTAAGCATGGAAGGTGAAATGAAGATGTTCTCAGCATGTGGAAATATGTAATACACACATGTGCATCCATGCAGCTAATGTAGTTACTGCATATACTGCAGATTTCAGATTAATATTAAAACTCCAGTACACCATGGCTGGAATAATTTGACAGATGCTAAATTTATGATCCTAATAGTTACTTGCATGTGAAAACGTTTTGCTATGCTTGTGATTTTTGTTAAGGTATTCAAATCATTGCCATATGCAGGGAGACATATTAACCTCATTGTTAAATTAAAAACATTCATGCTGAATCAGTGACAAAACTGACCAAGCTTAAACTTTTTATAAAAGTTTTGGGGGTTTTAATTACATTTTGAAAACTCTGTTAAAATTTGTAACCTAATACACTGAATTATTTAAAAATATTTTCAATTTTTAAGTCCACCATATATTATACTATTTTTAAGTCCACATTTATATATAGTGGCATATCAATGTTCTGTTAGCATACAAGAATACAGTGCATGCATATTTGTTTTTGGTTATGTGGATGTGGTATATATAAACATAACACATGGGCATATTATGCAAAGTATGTGCATATTGTATTTACATCATTATCAATACATTATATATAAAGGTGTCAATATTTTGTTTATAATTTATTCTCTAATAGTTGAAACAATGTCATAGAAATATACACCTATTAAGAGTATCTAATGACATAATAATAGATGCCATTAGACTCTTTTCATGCATATATTTCTTGCCAGTATGTAACTGGTGAAACATTTATAAATGCCTATAAGATACGAAAAGCAAAACATGTTTTTATCAAAGATTCATAAAAAAAAAAAATCATTACCCTGAACCTTGCTCAGAAATTTTAAATTGAACTAAAAAACTGAATTTAAATAATACAAAAATGTTAGATGGTAAAATCAACCATTGGAATGAAATCTACTTCCACTATTGTGGAATCAGTATCACTTGAAATTCAAGTAATGGTCTGTGAGGGGAAAGACTAAAGTTGTAAGTTCTTTCCTAACGTAAGAATTCTGGACTCAAACCTGCAAACTGTTACTATTGCTCATATACTTTGTTCTAAGTAGAGTACTACAAAGTGACTCTGCTTATGAGAAAAAAAATATATGCTTTTTTTAAATGTTCTGCACGGGACTGACTCTGCTCCAACTAAAGTCAATGGTAAACGCGCATTCATTTCAATGGGAGCATAGTTAGGCCAATGCTGAGCACTTTTGTAAATCTTATCCAGTAGTTACTGTATGCAGAACTAATCCTTACGTTTTTGGGCTCCTAATCAGGAAAGCACATAAGAACATGCTTAAATCCGTCCCTATGTAAGAAAACACTGATATGGGGTTATTGACTTCAATGGGACTAAGCACATTATTAAGCACTTTTCTGAACAGGGATGATTTCCTGACTGGAGGCTTTAAGGTACTATTTGTTGAAAAAGAGAAAAACATCTTAGATTATTTTTAAATGGTTTGACTTCAAGAAAATAATGAGCAGTTTATTTTATGTGGTATAGCACTGCTACCCTTCTTGATTTTCAAAGGATAGTTTTAGTTTTTACACAGCTATACTGTGTCTTTTGAGCTACTGTCCAGGACCTTAAAACATCCAAAAACATTTGAGGCCACCACAGTGTCACACCCTGATGAGCCATGTCGAACCATCCAGGCAGTGTCCAGCACTGGATGTGCTTTAATTAGACCACAACTCTACTCTTAAATATCAGGGACTAACCATCAGATAAAATTTTACAGTGCAGGTAATTCTATAATTCTTACCAAATACTTTTGGGGCTGCCATCAGCCTTCCCCCTTACTCATATCCTGATCCCAGCCAACCCGCTGCTCTCCCCTTGTATGGGGTAAGGGGGGCTATAAAGGAGTGGTGGGGGTTGACTCCTCTCCATACCAGTTGTAGAAGCCCCAACCCCCCTTTCTCTGATTCTTTAAAGAATACCTCCCTTAAATCCTTTACTAGTCCTTTTTATCTGATCACCATGTCCATTCCCTGCAGAATACATACATAGGACATTTGCCACAAGCTTACATAATGAATTGTGACAGTATAGCCTAATGCCCCTTTCCTAACCTAATAGGCCCCTAACCTGCAGTAGGGAAGGCCACCCTTTCCCCACCCCAAAACAAAACAACCAAACCCACATCTTGCCTACCCCAATCTGGTGGTGAGAGAAAAATTCCTTCCCAGCCCCCTTGAGAAAGAAGTATCTAGGGTAATGACTGCAACAGATCATGAGAAAACCTGTATTTTAACTACTTACATGAGTGGGAGGTTGAGTGCTGCTCACTTGCTCCAGGTAAAAGAGGTCTGGACCCCATCCGGTCACCTGTGGGAGAGAGGACAAGATGTCTGCTGACCTGGTCTGGCTGACTTCTCTCTACTTTTTATGTGGAACAGGTAATCTTGGAGGCAGGGGAGGGCTTTAAAAGGGCAATGACCCCTTTCCTGTGAGCAGGTGGAAAAGTCACCCTTGCAATTAAAGGGGGGCAACTCACCTTCTTTGTCAAACCAAACAAAGGTTGGTTATTTAATGTGTGGTGAGGGCAATTGAAATCCTAATGGTAAAATGTCTGAAAAGTTTTTTCTGGGTTATTCTTTACATGACACACCCATGACTGTTCTCCCCTGATAGAGAGAGATCTGATGATACAACAATGCAGTATGATTTTCTTTTTCCTAGTTGGCAGTAGATTTTTTGTGACATCTGATTTTTGCTCACTGCGAGAGTGTGTGTTTGTTTTAGGGGGAAATAGGAGGATTGGGGGAGTTTGCCAGTTTTTCTGCTGACTAGTTCAGTTTTCTGTGGATATATTACTCTGGATTAAGCACTCGGTCTACTGCAACTCACAGTTGAGTATTTGCTCATTATGTAATTCCTGTAACACCAATGACACACACATACACACACTGTCATCCATCCAGTGCTTAATTTGTAATGAAAGAGGTGCCATGGCTCAAGCAATTTTTTTACATTCATAATTGATGCACCAAGCCCAGAGCTATGAACTGCCAAGCCTAGAGATGTCAGGGCTCAGCCCTGGCACAAATTAAGTACTGCATCCATCAGATGATTGGTATGTAGTATCATGCATTGTTTGACTAAGGGTACCTCTACACTGCAGCTGGGAGAGAGCTTACCAGCTCAGGTAGACCGACAAATGCTAGCTCTGCTAAATCTAGTGGGCTAAAGGTAGCAGCGTAACCAGGGGTAGCACAGGCAGCAGCTTGGGCTAGCCAGCCGAATACAAACCTGCCTGGCCACCCTGGCTATGTACTCGGGCAGATAGTACAAGCCCCTGCCTGTGCTACTCCTGGCTACTCTGCTGCTTTCAGTATGCTAGGTTGACTAGAGCTAACATGTCTGTCTACTCAAGCTGGGAAGCACACTCCCAGTTACATGTAGACGTACTCTTACAACAGGCAATATCTAGCAAAAGGAAACATGAAACAACAACAAAAGCTATAGTCCTCTTCTCAACTGAGATTGTGGGGGGCCTCTAGCCTCCTGTAGCCATAGATAGGGCCTGCTTGTCCTCTTACAGGCTTCTGTTCCAGTCACAGGAGAGTGTACTCTCAGCTCTCTTTTGGTTGCAGGCTCCTTCATGCACCTTGGGCCTTTATGTATATCATGCAGCCTGGAATCAGACCCAATCACTAGATGCTGTCCAGCTGGGTCAGCTGATTACCAGCACCCACCTGCTGGACTTCCATCCAGAACAGGGCCTTGCCCTCTTGGCTCTTAAAGAGAGAGCACTCTGTTACATTATATGTGAGTTAATCTTGAGAGGGAGGCATGTTCTGAGCATGGGACTGAGAATCAGGAACTCCTGAGATCCAGTCCTACTCTTACACTAACTCCCTCTGTGGTTTTGGGGAAATCACTTATCACAGTCTTCTACTGGCAATAAAGATACTTTATTCTTCCCAACACCTTAGGATGTAAGAGTAGATAGTGCAGGTAAAGTCTACAGTCTAGGACACCACTGCACAGGAGCAGAACATCTTCAAAAAAGTAACATTCAAAGACTTAACAATGTCCCTGGCATTCCACAGTCTCTGTGGATCAGGGGGTAAAAGATTTCTGAGATAGGATCCCAATTATTTATTATATAAACTATGAGAGCCATGTAATAATAAGCCAAAGAGTGCTTAATATATTTTTAAAATAAGAACCCTAATTTATCTCTTTTTCCTCAAGCAAAGTAAATGTATTGAATTTTATTTACTAAAAGAGGATTTTCAGGAAATAAGAAGCAAAACCACATAATTTATTAATATAACTAATCTGCAACTGACACTATCTTTTTACACATTTATAGGGTATAATTATAAAAGCTAGGGTTTTATTCAACAAAGTCCTTCAATTCTGGCAAGGTAGGCTGTATAAAATGGCTCAGCATCCCCAATAACTATACATAATTCAGGAACCAAACCAGTAATGCCAAATTCTGATCTTGGATACCTGAATGCAAGTCCCAGTGACTTCAGTGGGAGTCATGCACACACATTCCAGGGTAGGATTTAGAGATATTATGATTATTTGTTTGGTCATATAATTCTGATTCCTGATTCTTTGACTATTCTCTCAGGATTCCAAGCAAGATGATGGCATACCCCAATTTACTTGAAGGCTGCCAGACAGCATACAAGTATGAGTTTGGCATGTGTCAAAAAAAAAATCAATATAATGGTGAATTTCATCACTAAATTAAGAAATAATGGGCTAAAAATTACAAATTCAGAAATTCTAAGTTTAATACAGTATCATTTTCTTAGACTACAGATTTTAGCATCTTCCCTTTTAAAAGTAATATTATTTCCCACTATATGCTGCTCTTTGACAGCCTGTGGATCCCTGGTTTTGTACCTATGACCCTCACTCTTGACCCTGTTATTCATCAGTTGTCCCCTGTAATTATTTGAATCCTGGGTTCAGTAGCTCCTCCCCTTAGGCTGAGGGAGGGGTCTTCAGACACAGTCAGGCTTGTGCCTGCCCACCTCTCCGCTTTTCAGCAGGTACACTATCTTAGCCATCAATAGCAGTTTACTCAGGCATGTCTACTCTGTTCTGCAAAGTTATTATAAATCCTTAACTCATTTTCTTTCCACACAGATAAGAAATGTCAAACATATATTTGATTGGCTAGATGCAGGCCAATCATCTGCTTTGAATACTCCACTGGAGTTTCAAAACCATGAACTTTAAAGTGAAAGTTAATACAATTTTTGGTGAGCTTCACTTTGAAGTTGTTTGGCTCAAATCCTTTTTGCAATGCTTGCACGCAAAATGAAACTTGTTAAAAACTCGAAAATTTTACTTGAAGTTTGGTAGATTCTACAATGGAGTAGAGAAGTATCAGAGAACAGATAAAAGAACAGAGGAGCACAGTGGAAGGGAAGAGGCATTAGATCTGGTGGTAGGAAAAACAAAAGGAAGAAAGTATACACGCTGGGGATGGCATGGAAGCAGAGTGAGTAGGAAGCAACAGACTAAAGAAGCAAAAGGGAAGAGTAAAGAGTAGAAGGGCAAGAGAATATAGAAAAGGGCATATAACAGGGACATAAAGTAGCAGAATGACACCAGATTATAAAAAACTAACAAATCAAAAATCACAACCACAGCCCACACATTCTCCCTTCCCCCCCTCCCCTCACTTCACAAAAAATGAGCATAAATTTGTAAACAAAGATAAAATTAAATGGAAGTCTGGCTTGGGAGGGAGGTCTGCATCCTTCAGGTGTAAAACTCACACTATGGTGAGGACAATGTGACATTAACACTCCTGAATTACTGTAGTGATGATAGATAATACTGCCAGTGCACAGTCCTTATACATAAGTGGATAGGAATGAGGATGCTGTACCATCAATCAAGAATGATCTTTGGGAAAGAGGTGCTTAACTTGGGTAGAATGCTGCCTGTCAAAGACGTAAGGTTACACCCTTAATCTTCTCTCTCTCTTGCCCAGCACACTTTGGTTAGGTACTGAATTCTGAATGGAACTGGCTGAGCTAGAAAGACCCCTCTGTAGAAAGAAAGTCACAAGAGGAAGTTAGGTAGCAACTGTTCTGAGGATGGCCTCATATCAGAAAAGGTGTGGCCCAAACTCAAAAGTACTATATTCTTTAAACTATTAAAATGCTTAAATTTGAAAACTATACAGTGTACTCTGAATCCCATATTTTTGATCAACAAAGAGTATTTTGTGTTACACTAGTAACTATGGATATTTGTTAACAGCATCTATCAGTCAACACAAAATTAAGACAACTCCAAATTTTCTGGGTTAAAGATATTTGAATAACAAAGTTTTGATAGTAGCTTTTGATTATATATCTTCAAATGCAGATATCTTTACAGTTCCTGTCAGTTTTCAAAGCCTGTAAAGGTCAAGCAGGTACTTTATCTTCCTTAAGACACTGTGGTCTGTTTTCCATCATTTGCAAGTTCTAAGGTTTATGCTTCTTCAAGGAGGTGACACCGGTAAAATTCTCACAAATCTTTTAAATGTGGTCTTTAAAAATTCTGTGAATCTTGGCTATACCATGTATATTTCTTTCAACTGGAAACCTGAACCAGAGAAATTTTAAGAAAACAGTCTGATTCTTAAAAAATGCAAGTACAGTTTAGAATAATATGGTGAGTGGGAAACATAGCACTAGAAACTGACATGCAGAGTTAGTTGTGAATGGGTGTGAGTATACATATACAGGAGATGTTTTAAAGAGAAAACTATGATCTAGTCTGCACTCCATATGTGTAACGACATTAATCTTTTATTTTAATAACCACTCTCACCAGTTTAGGATTTTAAATAAAACCAGAAGTATTGTAGAATCATTAAGACAAACAGTCCTCTTTGGTTCGACTGTAGAAGCAAATGAAAAGTTTACAGACCTCAATGTGTTTCTTTGCAGGTATTCTGGAAATAAGAACAGTGGCAGTTGGAGTAGTGGCAATTAAAGGTGTGGAAAGTGAATACTTTCTAGCAATGAACAAGTCTGGAAAACTCTATGGAAAGGTACTGATAATACTGCAAAGAACTTATACTATGGAAATATACACTTTTGTACATTTTCTGCTGATTTTTACGTAACATCTGTGCAGTTTGTGTAAATTACTGCTAGTAAGTGGAAATGTATTGCAACTTTATCCAATGGCAATGGTGGATTCTTATGCCTGGTTATAAAAGCTAAGGATTAAATCCCTAATCTTGTTTTAGTAAAAATCTTCCTCTTGTTAAATATTTCAGCTGCTAAGGGAGGATATTCAAAGCTAAAACATAAAATATGTTAGTTAAGACTTAAGAGACCTAAGTAATTTATTGAGTATTTTAATAACAAATGATATTTATTATATGGTATATGTTCTTCCTCCAGCTTCCCCAACCCGATTATGTATTTAAAGAACAAAAGTGCTAATTTTATGCTATGCTATCATTCACTCTTAACAGAAAGTATGCAACGAGGACTGCAACTTCCGAGAACTGATTGAAGAAAACCATTACAATACTTATGCTTCAGCAAACTGGACAAACAAAGGGAAAGAGATGTTTGTGACATTAAACCACAAAGGTGTCCCTATGAAAGGTAAAAAAACAAAGAAAGAACACAAAGCATCCCACTTTCTTCCTTTGGCAATATCCTAATCATATATGATCTACAGAGAACTAGTTCCAGCAGGAAGATTATTTTTAAAGAGACTGAACAAGTAATCAAGAGAGGCTGGAATACTACTGAAAAACTGAACAAGCTGGACTTGCGCATTTATGTTTATTTTAAAGAGACTTCATTAAAAAGATTTGAAAATATACACAAAATCAGATTTAGTAACTAAAAGTTGTAAAAAATTGTAAAGAGTTGTACAATCATTATGTTAGTAATAGTAACTGGGTAGTTTCTTAAATTAATTTACCCTTAAGAGCAAGTCATGACTTGATTATCTGATGATATTTTATTTAAAAACCTATCTGCTTATTAAACATGGCTGCTATAATAATAATAAAGCAGATGATAATGTAATGTAAAATATGTCAGACTTTAAGGCTGCTGGAATGATTTGTCAGATTATCAAGTCAATACTAAATGTGGAGATTGAGCAGTATTTTAAATAGTTCCCAGAGAAACTGATAAACTATACATAAACTAGGATCAGAAAAAAACCTTAAATCTTATAAATTTGTTACTGTCATATTGAGATTAAAAAAGCTTGTTTGGAAAATTAAGGTTGCACCACTACAAAATGTCAAATGTATTAACAAGAACAAATACCTAATGCTGCTCTAAAAGATGTTTCAAAATAGTGTATGTAAAATAATAAGAATAGGGAATAAATAAAAATGTACTTCATCTCACTTTCCACAAAATAACATTTTATATAACGACGAAGTAAAAATTCAGACATCTTAAGGTTTTTTATGTAACATAACCTATCTTTTTGTATAATTCCTGTTAGGGCATATGGCTTTTAATATTGTTTTTCCACCGTTATTCATGCTTTTTCTGTTGTTACAGCATTAAACTTTATTTTAAGTTATATTTGAACTTTATTGTTCTAAGTTATTTAAGTTGATGTTATTTATAAAAAAAAACTTATTAAGCTGCATCTGTTTCATATGCTTTTAATTCCAAAGGAATAACAAAATGGTCTGGCTGAGCTGCATTGTTTTTTTTCTATGACCAGACACACAGTCTAGTACACAAGACTCTTGCCAACATGCACTGGATGGCAGACAAAAATGACAGCCTGCAGCAATTCTTACAAATGAAGTCTCACAGGGAACAACCCAAAAATGTAAAAAAATCTTTTGCCACATACTCCTGCCAATTAAGTTTAATAGCATTCCCAGAGTTACAGCAGATATAGAAAAGTTGTAGCTCTGATAGATATTGGGCTACTTCCTCGGTTGGTATAAATCAGCACTGAGTTCTATGGAGCTACACCAATTTACACCAGCTGGGGTAATGGTCCAGAAAGTCTAGCCAATAACAATGAAACCTCATGACTCTAGAGATTTAAATCCTCTATCCACGGATGTAAATAGTTCAATAACTATTGCCACATGAATAGTTCAGCGTCTCTACTTTAATTCTTGCCCTCGCTCTTCAGACTGGCAACAAATTTTCCAGTTAATATTATATGAGTACTTGTTTGCTATAGGAAATGGACAGAGATCACCAAATAATTACACTAAAAAGCAGCTGTTAGACAATCACTATTAACCTCGGATAGATTCAAAGCAGTTTCCAATGGAGTTAAAAGCTCAGTTTTCCACTACAGACTCTTGAGGTGCATCTACAGTAGGACTTTTGCCAGTATAGAAATGTTTTTTAAAAAAAATCACATCCTTAACCAACATTACCGTACTGGCAAAAGTTTCTAAAATAGAACTGGCCTAGGTTAGTTCACATTTTGAAAGCAAAAAATGAAACCCCACTAACATTGTTTGTGTTTAGCTACTCTATTGAAGCTGGATTTAAAATGCAACCATACGCCAACATGCTTAAAATTAAAACCAGGATCAGAGTTGGCTTTTCTAAAGATTTTATGATTAGGTAATTCAAATAGAGAGCAGTAAGATCAAATGTTTCTTAAACGTTGTTGATAATTTTTATTTGCAATTTTGATATTTGCCTTGCCTATTGGGCTGACATTGTGACACCTTGAACTGTCTGTATATGATCAAGGATCAGAAGAGGCTGAATATCTATGTTCATGTTGCAAAGAAGACTGCCAGCTTATAAGGAAAGATGATCAAGATGAAACAAAAACATTTAAAATTGCAATGTAATTAACAGGCCAGATCATACTCCCTTTGATCCATGCACAGAGGATCATTCACACACGGATCATCACCTTTATCTGTGTGGGGAAACTACCTAGCCCAATGTTTGTTAAACGTCTGAACAGAAAAAGTATTATAAAATGATAAATATTATTAGCATGGAGAGGTGAAACGTCATTTTTCTATATGGACTAGCCTACCTGTTTTATTTTAAGGGAATTCGGCATGTGGGGTTGCTATAGAATGAAGCAGCATGTGACTCCATACTCACAGCCACTGTTCTCAATCAGAACCACTGGATACGTTAACTTTTGAAAATCTGGCCATGCCATTTAGGTGCCTAAATAGGAGATGAGCTCTTTTAAACATATGGACCCATAAGTAATTTCATACTCATGCTTTTGGAAGAGACAGATTGTAAATTCTCAGTTATTAGATTTGCTTTTCTAATCAAATAAAATTAGATTTTAAAATTAACACTATAATTGCAGTTACATTTTAAAAAGATTTTAAAACACTGACTAATAATTAACTATTCTGGACCAGATTGTGCCCCCAAGATCTTCACGGATATCTTTCCCCCTGCCTTGTGATTGGACTAGTGTTAGGCGTAGGTGGAGCCTGGTAGATGCACACTGTCCCCTCATCAGTTCTACAGAGATTACCTGGGAAAGTTAATACACTCTGGGCTGCATTAATTCTCATGTGAATCCCTGTCTGTGGGATCCACCTTTAAGGGCAGTTCTGAGGGACAACCGAGGCCAATGTGTTTCTCTGGTATTATGGCTCTTTTGGTTGCCATGCTACAAGAGTGCATGCTTGGGAGGGGGGGGAAGAGTTACCAGGGCTACAGAGCCAGTGCAGAGCTATATGGGTTTCTGTAGATCCCTTGGGATTTGGGTCTACAGCAGTGGTTCTCAACCTCTTTACCATTGTGGGCTGCATATGTGGACTACATCCAATACTACCTTTATGGCCCTGAGGATGTCACGTGGGCTGCAGCTCTGTGCTGATTGGGTCACAAGTGGCCCATGGGCCGCAGGTTGAGAACCACTGGTCTACAGACTTCTCTGAGATGCACACAAAACTCATCCCCCCAGATGGAATGATTAAAGACAAACTGCTCAAGGTGATCCTTGCAGAGTTTATTTTCCCTTAACTCTGTCCCACAAAGTTTACCGTGTGGAGAGATCCAGTCCTCTGTTGTTTGAAATCAACTTACTTTAAACAATTTTCTGTAATATTAGTGCTCATGTACTTTAAAATCTTTCCTGTCTTTTCCACTATAAGAATAGAATTGGATGTGTTCCAAGGCTATGATATATATTTATGTACTATTTCTAACATTTTCCTGACATTAATGGGTAGAGAGCATCCCATGAAGTTCTCAATTCTGTCCAAGTTCAAGTACTTTATAAAACACATTATTTCAAATTCATTTGTACTTTAGCAATAAGAGCCAAAACTATCAAACCATCTACTAAAGAAAAAATCAGACTATTCAAAACTAATTTACCAGAATAAGTCATCTAAGTTAGTATTTTTATTCTACAGTATAAAATAGACTTTTGGAACCAACCTTTAATCAAGGGTCAGTGATAACACATGCTAAGTACTTTGTTCTCTGTAGTGGTGCACATACATGATGTATGGAAACTTGGTGAGGTTAAAAAAAAGTCTGTGTTGGGTTACCAGGATGCCAAAATTTATGAGGTGACATTTGTACCCATCATCCAAATTACTCTGCCAGACCCTCTGATGCATCCTCATATGCTGTTGAATGGGTTCTGCAGTAGACAGAAGTGCTGTGTTGCCTCCCTAGGTGGAGCTATGGTCATTGAAGATGTTTTAGTGCTTCAAAAGAGCTCAGCAGAATAGAAACTGTCTGAAAGGAGTCATATATGGGAGTGACAACAGGGAATCACAGATAGGATATAAACCAGAGATAATGGGTAAAAAAAGTGATAGTTTGTGCCAAGAAAAGGGAAGGGAAATACACCATTGTTATGGGGGAGAAAGGGAGAGAGATAGCCCAGGTACAAAGGGAAGGAAAGAGTCTACACAGGTGGAAGAAGAAAACAACAATGGGGAGGGGGGGAAGGGCAGAGATTATGGGAGAGTAGAGAAGAAATAAATAAAATAAAGAGACAAGGGTTAACAGATACAACCAGAAAAAATAGAAGATTGATAAAATGGAAGAGGAAAAGAACAATAAAACAGAAATGGAGGAATAAGAGGGATAATAAAGGATCAGATCCTCAGGTGGGCTGTGGTCACTTTGTGCTGCCCTGCTGTCATACTTTGGATGCAAAAGCTGAGTAAGTGGTTCAGGGAGGATCACCCCAATTGCAAGGTTTCAGAGGAACAGCCGTGTTAGTCTGTATTCGCAAAAAGAAAAGGAGTACTTGTGGCACCTTAGAGACTAACCAATTTATTTGAGCATGAGCTTTCGTGAGCTACAGCTCACTTCATCAGATGTTTACCGTGGAAACTGCAGCAGACTTTATATACACACAGAGAATATGAAACAATACCTCCTCCCACCCCACTGTCCTACTGGTAATAGCTTATCTAAAGTGATCAACAGGTGGGCCATTTCCAGCACAAATCCAGGTTTTCTCACCCTCCACCCCCCCACACAAATTCACTCTCCTGCTGGTGATAGCCCATCCAAAGTGACAACTCTTTACATAATCAAGTCGGGCTATTTCCTGCATAGATCAAGACCAATTGCAAGGGTGATCCTGTAGCAGCATAGAGCCAGCGCAAGGCCTTATATTCCGCACTGCTCTCCTTGCTGTCAACTTAGCAGAGAAGAGCTGTGTGGTTACTGAAAAAGGGCCATGACTGGGAAATCACTGTTATGTCTTTCTCCTGGGTTTGGCCTTCAGCTCCTTATGGCCTTTACAGGCCAGTGTAACTTAGAGCAGTCCTTAGGTTGCTCTAACCCAGTGCATAGTGGAAAGCATGCACAGTGAAGCACACAGATCAGGGCAGCATAATTGGGAACTTTACACTGTCTCCTAACTTCCATTCTATATTATGTAACTACCTAAGGATCTGATCCTGAAAATCCATCCCACAAGAAAATATACCTCTCGTCAGTCTCAAACCTGAAAAATGAGTTTGGATCTTAGAAAGTGGCAGAGGTAATTAGCCTAAACTGACCAAACCAAAGGTAAGAAGACCCAAAAAATGTAAGGATAGAAAGACAAAGGAAAAGAAGAAGGAATAGCTGTCAGTATTAAAATATTAAATATTTTCAATTTACTCTTTTTCAAATATTTTTGACGACAATCCTCACATCAATCCCAGCATACAATTGTATTGTATACAATTGGGGTGCAAACCCTTCTGTCAATCCAGCTTCTTCCCTTGCCATCTATTCTTCCACCCCCACTTCTGGCACCTTTTCAATATAAATTAAGTGCAGTTCTAGTAAATGTACCTATCTGTAGTTTAGTGCTTTACTGCTGAACTGCACTAAGAACCCAAGCTGACCAACACGCAACTAAATATGGCTAGCTACTTGTTATTACACAAACACCTTCTAGAACTACTACCTGGTGCACGACGAATTCCAAGACAATTGTTCTAGCCTGCACTGCACTTCTACTGGCAGCAGGAACTCTATATGTAAGGGAGGGGAACGGATGGCAAAGTTTGACCAAGGCTGGTCTTAAATAGAGAAAACCGGAGCAAAAAATGGGAACTAACTGGTGTCAATACTGTCATCTCACTGAAAGTATGA